ATTTTCGCGAATGGCGTCTCCAGGAATTTGGGCGCAACATTGGAAGATAATCATTATAATTCTTTTTCACATCTAAATTTTTAATGATCAGAGAAACACCACTTATACAAATAGTATCTTACAAATCGAAACGCGCAGGCCTTGGAAACAAAGTACCCGTCAACGCTTACCTCGATGGGTTTCAAAATCCACCTGCTTCCTCTGGAGGCGACCGGGGTCGTCGTGGCAACGGCGCGCGGTGCGCTTCGGCAGTACCTGTCCCTTGCATAATTTATTTGTCGTGAAAGTACCGCTTCCCAGGTACGTCACAATATATATCAATCTCTCTCTCATTATTATTTTATCACAGTACACATTTTCCCTTATTCTGCGCCACCTTTTCTAATATTTGATGCGAATGAAATATTGGTTGGTTAGGTACAGAATGGTTGTAATGAATTTCATATGATTTGTACGAGGGAGAAAAGACAAAACTTTTCTCATGAAACGATTGGAATGAAAGATGCACTGGAAGCGTCACGCACCCTTTTGAACGAAGTGTGGAATCAATGAACAATGTTTGGTTCACCAGCCGCCTTGTAAGACAGCAGATCTTTACTACACCAACAAGAAATATTACTTTATGCAAGCAAATGATTTTAGACATATTATATTACACAATTTGATAAGCAATGTTACATTAAACGCTTCGAGTTATAAAATGAATAATTAATTTCATTTCTTGCAATACTGAAATATCTTTAATTTTTGTATCTGGCAGCCAGAAGTTCGGGACAAAAGAGGCACAGATACGTCAAAAATACAAGTTCGGAAATCGGTATAAGCCGTATGTAGTGCATAAAACACATGTCGTGACGATAGTTTCTGATGGAGATCTTTGGGGTTTGTTTCACTATATTTACACGTCAGAGCAAAAGTTTTTGGACACCTATTGTTTATTTCTCAGCGCGCAGTATTTTTCCTTGATTGTAGGAATTGAGCTAGGGCACTGAGGTAGTGTCTTGATTCAACTATTTTTTTTATGATAAACATTACGTACTTGGGGTCCACAGTCAAGAGTATCTATTGATGAAAAATGTTGGGTGGCTGGGAAAGCCACAGTTCACTATCATTTGCTACGGAGTTTCGGACCGTAGGTACACCATGGTTTCTGGTTCATAGTGGTTCTAAATACCGCGAATAGAAATACCGCGAACAACAGGTTTTGTAAAATAATTCATTGAAGCTATTATTGTTTGCAAAAAACTAATTTATAGGATGCCAATATGTGAAGAAAGATATTCAGGCAAGGGTTGGCTTTTTTATGAAAAGACAGTTAAACAATTTTATTTTTTAAGTCAAAATATTTCAGTACATTGTATATATATATACATTTTTGGCGTACGATATGTGGATAATACAGGGTGTTTCAATAAGGACTTTACAAGTTTGAATGCTCCTACAAACTCATTCGTACGACCCACATACCTTCTCTTGGCGTCATCTTAAAGGGAAATAGATCAAGGTTTGACCCATGTACTATGCTACTTCAGGATCGCGGCACGGGAATGCAGATGCAGAAGAGATGGATGCATTTCCCTGTTCCGAACGTGGTCGCAGTGTGCTTTGGTTTGAAAATTCGGAGACTGGCAATTAGGTTACGTAATTTTTTTACAGATTATGGTAAAGGGAAATGAGAAATTTGAGAGTAACTTTACACTGCGAAAATTCGTCGGGTAAAGTACGGAGTAAATTCAGTTTTCAACGTGCATGTATCTCCGAAGTGTTGTTACGGCTCGACGATTACCAATGACAGTATTTGAAGACGATTCCAGCAAAGATTCGGATTATCCACTAGTGCGAAGACAAAGGGTGCGAGAGAGAAAGCATTGGTTTCAATTATGACGATCGAGATTTTGTCACGAGGTTATGTTTGACCAAATCAGCTGTTGATTTCATCATATACATTGTAAACTGTAGAGAAATTGTAAAATTTATTTTTCGCCTATGTGGATTCAAAATAAAGGTATTACGTACCGTATACGATAACAAAAGGAAAAATAATAACTACAGGGACTACAAATACTAAGAAGTATTTATTTATTTATTTAGTAAAAACTGTATGTGACGTATGGGGGAGATCATTTGCGCACGTTTTCCGTGAGTTCCAGAATCCCTTCCAACATATTTAACTTAAATAGTTTAAAGTTGAATACAATTTAAAAAATAAAACAAATATTTTAATTAATAAAATTTAGAAAAAACGCCGAGATCAACATTTGAAGAACTAAACATTTTCGTTCGGTTATAGAAAATTTATTTGCATCGCGCTTCGTAAACGTACTGCAAATTAATTTTTCTGAATTCTAACAAAATAGAACTCATCTCCAGAAAAGAAAATTGAGTATTTATTAATAAATAAGATACAAAAACTTAAGAATAAAACTATTGCCAACTCAAATCACGATAACACCGTACAGATAATAAGTCAAGAACGTGAAACTGAAATGAATGATAGAATATAGGAATTTAAATCACAGGTTCCCAGCGTCACTCTCGCTCACAGCCTCATTGAATCGGCTACAATATTGTGCGATTCACGAGTAATCGTAGAGTATGTACTCTAGAGTGAATAAGCATGTAGAGCAGGTGAACGCTAATATTCTACTCGAGTTACTATCTTAGAGTAAATGGTTACTCTCGAATACACTTACTCTCACGTTTCACTCGGCGGTCGGTGAAACCGGCCCTTAAATTATGAATCGGATAATCACTGTTTAGTGTTGTTAGAGCATTACTAATAGCTGCCCCCGTTGTCTAGGCAGTACTCACTTGTAGCATAATGCGTAACACTCCTCGTGGCTCTTGATTTCACAGTCTACAAGGTTTACGTTGGTTCACAATTTTCGACAGTCTTCACGGTTATCACTGTTCACTACGATAAAAAGCGATGGATTCGCAGTCAGCTCGGAATGCCATCAAAAAGGTACTGATATTAAGCAGATAACCATGGGCGACAAAATCTCCACCCAGCTCAGCTGAAACTCTCATCCAAATTTCTCGTCACGGGTGTTAAACTTTAACGGATAGGTTTGCCGACCGTGACCAATGAGTTGGACACCCACATAAAAACGTCTCACCAAACAAGATTTCAGTCATCATCATAGGAGCAGAATGACATAATTTCGATGATCACTTTACACGCTGAACAACAGGTAGACAAACATCAACGTGTCACCCAAAACACGATATTATAGGTCCTCGACTGGTCTTTTGGAACAACAAACCAACATTTTGGCAAATAATTATCACATTAAACAACTAATTGAAACGTTATTTGAGAGACACATATGTTAAATAATTGTGCTAAACTTTCTCTCAGAAAAACACGTCAACCCGTTGGTCTTCACCTGAACCTTGTCGAAAACATTGCACTCTATAGCGAAATTGGCAAAAACCACAATCTTTCAACTCGGCAGTGTCTGCAACATCCATCCCCACCCATATCTCCTAGTTCTTCTCCCCGGTACTCTTTGGATCAAATACCTTATCCCCTGAACTAATCTTGTAGTACTATCCCACCTATTCTTTATCTTTTACATTTGTTCCCTCTTCCTTCTCCCCTCCTGTCGGGGCAAGATAATTCCTTCGACACGCCACTCGAGGTAAAAATTGAGTTAAATAAGAGCGACTACAATTAAATGTAGCAGAGAAACATCGTGTAGGTACAAACAAAAGTTCAAATAATGCATCATATGTGCAATCTCTTTCATAAATTGGAATTTATCGAGGTTAGGCATTACAGTGTGATCTTAGGTCAAATAGAGTTTTTTTTTGCTTTACCGAACATGGTTGTCTATAATGATCTAAACACACTCCAAATTCCTAGCATTTACCTTGCGAGATCGTTATTGTAGAACGATGATCATATAAGACCCTTCTTTAGGAGGTTGCTGTTCTATATTACATAGAAATTATATTTGATTCTATTTTCTTGTTCAGATTCAATTTATATGCACGTTGAAAAGTTTTTGAAATAACAGTCATACATATCTTACTAAGCTCAAAAACAATCTTACTTTGCATCACAGACCTCCAACAAAGCGAGCTTTAATAATTGCATTTTCTTAGAAATCTAGCGATATCTGAACAAAATTAAGTACTCTATCTTGTAAATCATTGTTATATGTCGGTTGATTTCAATATTGGAATTTCTGAGCGAATCACGGAAGAAGAAGAGATTTCTCAATTACTGCATTCTTTAATTTAGATATTACAGTGAAACTGTACCTGACACGAATACATTTACATCATTAAAAATGCAAATAGATCAAATATAATTAACAAAACATAACTAGTTATGAAATAAAACTACTATCTTGGTTACAGTGACCATGATTATCAATTTATTTACAATTACTAATTACATTTGAACACTGAAAGCAAATTATTACACGCGACGGCATTATAGTTAGATATGCAAATAATGGTAGATTTAAAGCAGAGCAGGGACGACATCACTTCGTGTCTGAACTCTTTCCGAAAGCCCAGTCCAGAAAATTGGGAATCTGGCGAGAAGAATGGGTTCATAATTATGAATTAATATCGATAATGTTTAACACATGGCCTTTAATATTAGATGAACAAGAAAGAAGCATTAGATTATGCGGAGAATTGAATTAAAACTGTTAGAATTGTGTAGTTTGATGCCAGAGAAATTCCGGCAGTCGTTTAGGAAAGACAGTAAAACGGAGCGACTGCATATTCGCGAGGGTAGCGGGACTTAATATAAAGACATTCGAGGATTATTGAAATTTCGTGCGCTGACGAACATGAAGCACGAAGTTCTGCGATATGAGGCGAACACTTTGTGGATAGATCTTTTTATATTTAATTTTCTGCATAATGTACAATCTGTTCCTATTGGAAACAATAAGCAAATGTGTAACAGATATATTCGACCGTGAACTTTTATGACATTGAAAAAATTTCATTTACAAAATTCGGTATGGCCGATCTAAATACTCTCTCTCCTCAGTCTATAGATATGTCACTGATATCTAAAAGCTTGTTTGAAGGTGATTGAGGTGGCTTGTACAATTCTCTCTGGTATGCTGGCTCGTCGTGGCGATTACTTCCTCCAGCGGGACGATGTCGAGTCTCTGTATATCCGTCTTGTTGTGTCAATTACCATGGTTGCGTTGCATAGTTTTCTTAGGTGTTTTAGCTTTCGAATCTTTTTGGAGAATTTCTAGATTCTATTTACTGGAAGAGCCCCACAATTCATAATACCATAGGTCCCATGTGGTTTGATTATAGTTTTATAGATCTGTATTTTCGTTATGCAAGGACATGCTTTGATTGGCTGTTTATAGCCATGACAATTTGAGAGACCTTTTAAGCTGCGCTTCTTTTCTCTTAGTTTTAATCGTGGGTTTCCAAGTCAGCGTCATATCTTGTCGGGTCGGGTATCATACTATACCTTGTCGAATGGGCTTGTTGTATCGTTCTAGGCAATGCTGCAGAAAATATAGCTTTATTTCAGGCTTTGAGAAATTGATGTTTAAAAGACGATGGATCTGTTCTATGTTGAGTGTCCTTCTCAAAAGCTCGAATTGAATAGTCAGAATCACTTCTTAATTATTAGGCATTAGGGCGCTGTAGAGAAGTTTTTCAAATACTTTGAAAAAGACTGGTAGCTGGATAATAGGTCGGTACGATGTCCACTTTCGTGGCAGTCTTTCCTGGTTTCCGATCGCAATTACTTGAGCTATTTCCCATTGAACAAGGATAATGCGTTATTTCGAAGTATCGCGCTATGATTGCTTGTTACGGTTCATATACCTTACTTGCATTTCCTGCAACATCTTGCGTAATAAGGTCAAACCCTGGACTATTTGCAGGATGCGTGTGTTTGGGTTGATTGTTTGTTCGACTTCTCGTGAAGTTAAAATGCTTTATGGGCCAGAGATAACTGTAAAGGTCATCCAAATATATCTAACACTTTATTTTTCAATACTACTTGCTGGTTTGAAAACTGAAGCAAAGTGTTTTGCTAAGCATTCGGACTTTTCTTCTGCGCTTCTTGCCCACGTCCATTCATCTTTTGAATTGGTGAGAACATGCTGATACTGTTGGGTCGCCATGAGGTGTTTTCTAGTTGCTTTCCAAAGCGAATAAATTAGTTTCAGGCAGAGGTGATAGTGCTTAATCTAATAAGAGAATGATTTGTTTTCGTTTCCTTAATTTGACGTTTAATTGTCTGTCTGCTGTGTATATTTTCTTTTGTCATCTGGTGTCGTGTCGTCATGAATATTTCGTCGGAAGTCGACGTTTTTTCTACACTTTTTGTCTTATTTCTGCGATACGTTGACGTTTATTTATTGTTCTTTGGTGTTGCGGCCCAGGCCAGCGCCATTGTAATCGTGTCAATACGGTGCTGTATTGCGTCTTCGATGGTTTTCTCAGTTGTAAAGCAGTGCGTTTGCAGATATTATTGTTCAC